GATACCAACACTGAGGATGTCAATCAGGAGCTGCTGGAAGCTTCCCTGGCACTTCATGGGAAGAGTGAGGGCACCCTTGAGAAATGTGGAGCCCATATGAAGAAACACAAGATCAGGCATCTCTAGCTGTGCCTGCGCAGACGTTCAACCGGACTTCTTTGTTACCCAAGCTAATAAATTCCCTTTTAAATTTAAGCCACTCCCAGTTCAGGTCCTGTCACATTGCTATTTGAAGGTACAAGGATCCAAAGGCATCTAGAAAGGCTGAATCTAATGAGACAATGCTTGTGAGGGCAGAAGGGGCACCCTGCCTTGGGGACTGGGATCTAACTGCACGTGCTCTAGAAGGGGATTTGGAGGCCCCAGTGAGACCTATCTGTTGAGAGAGCCAATGGACGGTGCGGTGGTTACGGGGACACCAGAGCTGCCCAGGCGCACCAAATGGGTAGAGCTGCACCATGCACGGTCTCCTTGGTCCTCGGCCAGCTGCCCCCAGCCTGAGCATCCTCTTCCCCCTCCTGCAGAGTGAGATGCAGTGTTACCATGCCGTGCGTGCGCTGTGATATGGAGAAGGTTCGGCAGCGATGCCCTGGAGTGCCATCCTCAGTGTGGAGGCCACTCCAGCCAGTCACTTGCAGAGCAGAACAGCATCTACTCAAAGGTTAGAGACTAGGAACGGCCCCCTCGCCCCATTCTCCAGGGTGACAGCAGTACCATTTGATGACACCTAGCTGACACTGTGGGCTGCTCCTCCATAGCCATGCCCAGTCTTCCTAACAAAGCCTCTATTCTGTTCCTGTGGCAATGTGCCCAGCCTCCAGGGATGAATCACGATCGGCCAAAGCCTCCTTGTGGCAACCCCGTTACCCTAGCCCGAGACAGGGTGAAGGTGACCATGTGACCTAGCTCTGGCTCGTGGCTATAAGGGAAGTCTGCTGAAATGTATTGGGAAAGCTTTCCCCTTGGTTTAAAGAAAAGAGAACGCCTCTCAAGAAGATGGCTTTCTCCTGCCCCCCTTGCCTTCTACCCTCGCTACTCTTGGGTGAAGACACATGCTTGGAGCTACAGCAGCCATCGTGCAACCATGAGGAAAGGACGAGAGAATGGCAGACACAGACTGGCACCCAGGCATGGCCAAGTCACTGACAAAGTCAGGACCTGCTGACTGTCTGGAAGGCTTCTTTTGTTATGCGAGATAAGTGACCACACTCAAGTATTCTGTTATTTGGCATCGGAAGCATATTTACTGACCTACATTTTCCTCAACAGCACTGTATTTGCTCATCACTAAATAGGCAGTGGTGACCACCGTGTGAGAGAAGAGGAAGGGCAGGCTCAGGAAGTGGACGCGCTCGGGTGACAGAGCTGGTAAACGTGGGGCCAGGTCCCAAACTCCGCTCTGCTGACGAGAAACCCCAGGTACCATCCAGCCTGCACTGCCCCCAGCATAAATTCATTCAGCGCACAGATCCCCCACCTTCGGCAGCCATGCCCCAGATCTCCAAAGCCATGTGGAAAAGTCCAATTCAACAGTTCCAAAATATGTCTGTGAAAGAAACGCCCCAAGAGTTGGCTCATTCTAAACATGCTATTGTTATAAAGCTCTTTCAAACTACAGCAAAAAAAAAAAAAAAAATACAAGAAAAGAGTGGAGAGAGAGTGAGCAGGCCAGGAAGTCACTGAAAGGAAACTTTTCTTTGGTTTAGGAGCCAGGAAACGTCAAGGAAACAAATGTAGCTATGATTTACACTCCATTTCCAGTTGTGCCATAGACTTAAAAAATAGGCATCTTGATTAAAAGGGACACCACAGAGCAGTCCTGACGTGGACAGACTGCCCAGAGGCCGAAAAATCTCCATTTGACTCCAGGTTTGACAGTAACTTAACCAATATATATAGCTGATGAGAGGGAAGGAAGGTGCTTGACTTTTACCCAGTCTCTGGGCTTTTCGTGTTTTCAAACTGATTCGTCTGGACAATGGAAGGCCAATAGCCAACAATAAACCCCATTGTAAGCTGGAAATGGTCTCCTCTGAACACAACTAAATATTTCTTTAATCCTTGCATTAAATTTTTTACTGTATTATGAAAGCTATGCACTCTAACACTTAAGCTTTTATAACACTGTTTAACTATACATACAGCTATGGGGGGTTGATATTTAAAGCACTATTTAAAGCACTATTTAAAGCACTTTAAGAGCAAAATATTAGATGTTTGTTTTGCATGAATATTTTCAGATCATACTGAAGATACTATCATTAATGCCCTTACTCAGAAATCTTGTTTTTATATTCTGAAAACCATTTCTTCCCTTTTGTACCATGGGAAAGGTCTTTAATGATCATGAGTTAACATGAATATTCCTTTTTGTATCTACATTATCAGGCACATCAGCCAGTCCCAGAAAAATTTATTTCACAATTTTGTTCCCAAAGAACAAAGAGAGTGGGTGCCATATTAACAGTGGCTTTTGCTGGCTTATTTTTTTTTCTGACATTAAAGTCACGTATGGTTGGTAAGGATTTCTTTTCTTTAATTTGGACATGCTTTCTGCCTCTGATACTCTGAAAACAAGTTTGTTGGTAGAAGGACAAGTTGCAGGCACTTTCACGTCCACAACCACTCCAGCACTGGCTAAAAAGAGACTTTTTGGAGAACAAACCGGAACTGAAGAACAGGCTCAGGTATGAATGCTCTTTCCTTAAGAGATTTTCAGTTCGATCTTTAGTTGTCCTGCATTCACATCTAATGGTTCAAAAAAGTACCTACACATCTAATTAAAGTCAATTACTGGCTCCACAGTATGCACTTCCCGCAGCCCCCTGTCTCAGCCAGGGAACCCATTGTCACCAGCCAGGCTGTGTACATTTCCCATCCAGCAGCATTTGTGAGAATAGCTTGTAGCAGGAACCGCCTGGTGCCCTGGGAGAGAGCCACCTTCCCACGGGGACACCCAAACAACCTGCAGTTCAACCCCAACTGCATTCATACTGCGCCATCTCTGACTCCCTGCAGTTTACACTCCAAGAACAACGTGTGCCTCTCTCTGGGTAGCACGATGGGTAGCAACTGGCACGATGTATTGAATGGCACAGCAAATTATCCAGCGGGAATCCAGGGATTCTACATTCCGTCTTTGCCTTTCTAATCAAGAGGAGGGAGAGACAGAGAGAGAGAGAGAGAGAGAGAGAGAGAGAGAGAGAGAGAGAGAGAACACGAACGCTCTGTCCAATAACTCACTGTTTAAGCACTACAGCACTAGAGTTCACCCAGGTAAAATTCAGTGCTGCAGAAGGATGCATGATGAAGCAACTACAAATCTCTCCCTGGTGAAGTTCAGGACTTAAGAATCAACACCTCCTAGCAGTGGCTGCTTTCCCAGGACACCCCTCCCTATTATAATAGAATAAATAGACACAATTTGTAAGTTCCTTGTAAAATGGTTTTACCAAGATTTCTGATTTACTCAGTCAGGGCTTGCGGTTTGATTTTACCAAGTAAGAGAGGCCTCCTGTTAGAAAGAACAGCCACAGCTATAGCACTAACAGGTAGAAACTTTACTGGTCCTCCATACATCAATTCAACACCCTGGTCTCTGGGGATTTGCCAAAAGATAATGGGAGCAATTATGAAACAATCACCAGGAGTTGCCAGCAGGGCTCTCAGGAGAGATTTCGGAAGTCTGCAGGCACTTTCAAGGGGAAAATAGGAAATTGTTTCATGAAGCAGCAATTCTGCCCATAACCAAGCTAAAAGAGATGTACTGCTGGCTCAAAGAGATTAAGAAATAGGTGGGGTGAACAA